GGGGGGGGGGAAGGAAGGATGCCCGCTGCTCGCCGTGCTCCAAGAGGTCTGGCATCGACATTCGGGCCTACATCACTTACTGAGCAGACTGCTGTCGACCGCCTTGATATCCGGGATCTTCCGCATAAGGCCTGGAGCTATGGGCAGCCCAGGCCGGCCCTGATGCTGCCCTGGCCCTCGCCTCGACGGCGCGCGACCGCTGGACGTGACTCTGTGCTTCCCACCGCGAGTCTTTTTGCAATCCTGGCCCGGCTGCGTCGTTCGGCCCGTTCAAATCCCAGCGTCGCTAAAGCATAGCAGAGCAAGGATGTAGAGAGTGACCGACCGACCGACGGTTGGCAGCCGGTGCCCCACCCGTCCCGAATGGCGGCAAGCAGGGGCGTCCGGGAGGCCTGGCTCGCAGAACGTGCAGTCCGAGGCCGAGGCGGGCTTTCCCAACACCTGTCTGGCGCTTCGAGATAAGCAGCGCTCGTCGCCGGCTGCACCTCTCGAAAATCGGAACAGCAAACGCGCTGGAGAAAAAAGTTTGGGATGCGCGCCCTCAGCCGAAAGCACGCCTGTCAAGACGACGGCCAGAGAATTGCTAGACGGCGCTGCCTTCCCAAACATTGGCACCTCGTTCGTCATGTATCGCCATTTGCAACGGACCTGGGCCGAAGCGCTCACCGTCGAATGCAACCATTCTCTGCTGTTGCGCCGATACGGTGCTACGCAAATGCGAAGGCAGATGCATTCTACAGACACAGACAAGCCACGGCTCATCTTTGGGCTGTACTAGCTCTGGACCGACCACTGACGCCCGAGTGTGGGGAGAGTCCAGCCAGGCGAGACAAAGGGTCGAGAGAGCGAGCTCCAACTTTGGCTAGAGTCTGTGCGTCAGTCTACGAAGGCCCCGTGGCTCGAGTTGAATTTCTCCTCTGGCATATTTGTATTCGGTCTCTGATTCGGCACGGCCCAAAAAGAACGGCTGGCGCTGGTGAGTGGAGGTTGAAGCCGCTCAGCAGAAGAGTCGAATTGAAATCTCGTCGCCCCCCTCCCCCAAATCCCAATTCCACCTTGCAAATCCCTTGCAGCGTCGCCTGTCGATTGCAATCAGTCGCTCGCCCGCCCGGTGGAACACACTGACGCGATTTCCATCCACTGCAACTCAGCCCGGGTCGATTGGCGAGGATGCGGGCGCGGGCGCGTGCGCTGCGTCAGGCTGGATCCACTGGCAGTCGCGAGCGAGCCACAACCAAAAAAAGAGGAGCAGGGCGCCAAAGCAGACAGGCTGACTCGCCACTCGAAACCGCAGCGGAACTGCGTCGCCGTAGCCAGCCCGCCAACCTTTTGGACTGGATTTTGAGCTTTTGGTTGGATCGCCCATCCGCCAACACCATCACTGCAGCAGCGCCTCTCTCTCTCTCTCTCTCCACCGCCACACCATCTCTTCCTCCTTCGTACCCCCTTGCTCGCTTTGAACATCAAGGCAGCTACGCTTCTGCCCACCGTAGAGCCCACGCACCCGTCCACGCCACACTCTGCACACTCGGCCTGACCGTTGGCCGCCGCGACTCACTGCCTGCTACCCATCAGCGCCCTCATCCTTCCTCAATCTCACCTTCGTTCACCAACCCCACACATCCATCATCATGTCCGGCGCCCAGGAGATCGGCAGGAGCAAGAACTCCGACGCCATTGCGCCCACCCCGCAGAACACCCCGCTCGACAATGCTCCCCTCACCCGTGAGGCGCTCTCGCGCCCCACGGTCGGAACCATTGGTGAGGAGGACGAGAGCGCCGTAGACGTCGCCTCGGCCCTTCAGGGCAACCCCGCCCTCGCCGCCATGGTGCAGGACAAGCTCTCGAGCCTCGTCGGCCGATCGTCCGGCTACGTCGAGTCGCTCCCCAACCACATTCGCAGGCGCGTCGAGGGCCTCAAGGGTGTCCAGGTCGAGCACCACAAGATCGAGGCCGACTTCCAGAAGGAGATCCTCGAGCTCGAGAAGAAGTACGCACAGCGCTACAAGCCCCTCTACGAGCGACGTGCCGCCATCATCCAGGGCAAGACCGAGCCCACCGCCGATGAGGTCAAGGCCGGCGAGGCCGTCGATGCCGACGAGGATGACGAGGACGAGCAGCCCGAATCGCTCGCCGACGTCAAGGCGCCCGCCGAGGGTGCCAACGGCATCCCCGAGTTCTGGCTCACCGCGCTCAAGAACCACATTGCGCTTTCGGAGCTCATCACCGAACGCGACGAGGAGGCGCTGCGTGCGCTCGTCGACGTGCGCATGAGCTACCTCGTGGACCAGGCGGGCTTCAAGCTCGAGTTCGAGTTTGACCCCTCCAAGAACGACTACTTCACCAACTCGGTGCTCAGCAAGACCTACTACTACCAGGACGAGGTCGGATTCTCGGGTGACCTCGTGTACGACCACGCCGAGGGCTGCAAGATCGAGTGGAAGGAGGACAAGGACCTGACGCACAAGATCGAGACCAAGAAGCAGCGCAACAAGAACACGAACCAGACGCGCACCGTCAAGCGCTCGGTGCCCGTCGAGTCGTTCTTCAACTTTTTCAACCCGCCCAAGCCGCCCAAGAACGGCGAGCTGGACGACGAGGAGGCGGACCTGGACGAGCTCGACGAGCGTCTGGAGCTCGACTACCAGATCGGCGAGGACCTCAAGGACCGCATCATCCCGCACGCCGTCGACTTTTTCACGGGCAAGGCGCTGCAGTACGAGGACCTCGATGAGCTCGACGACGCCGACTTTGACGACGAGGATGACGAGGATGACGAGGATGAGGACGACGACGACCAGCCGCGACGATCGGCGCAGCTCGGTGCGTCGGCCGGCTCGCAGATGGCCGGCTCGCAAGATCCTCAGGAGTGCAAGCAGCAGTGAGCGCGCACGTGTGCCCTGGTAGTGTGCCATGCCCCTAAGCTTGCCACGCCATGCTTCGAGCTGAGGCAAGATCGATTTGTATAAGATCAAGTTTTGTTTCCTTGCCTTTCCCCGGCCATTTCTTGTGCTCGCATTCTGTTCGACCAAGCCCATGTTACTTTCGACCGACGATGTCCAAATTTGCGAACAGGTTTCTGGTTACGATGCGATGGTGTGGGGGGTGTGCAGTGGGTGAAAGTGGCTCTGTGTGGATGTGGACAAGGCAGGATGACGCGTTGAGAGAAGCGACATTGAGAGTGAGAGAGCGACGGTATTGAAAGAGCTTTCACCACACTGTCCTTTGAGATGCAACAAGTCCAGGCTGAAGGGATCACGAACAAATGGCAATTGCAAGCTACGAACGAGAGGGAGGAAAAAAGGGGGTATATGGTGTGGTACAGTCCAGCTGTATCACGCGCGAATGGTGGTGGTTTAAAAGTCGTCGTCGCTGGCGTCGAGGTCCGGCGCTCTGGTTGGCTGGCTCGCCGCATCGGACGGTTCAGGCTGGGCGTGGAGGAATGCAGCAGGAACACTAGGCACGGGTGGGGCAGATGTATCCGAGCTCGGCGCTTTGTCAATGGGTGATGGCTTGGATTGGGTCCTTCTGCGCGGCAGAGCGAGCGGCGTATGTGCCGTCGTGAGTCCAGCGTGCCTTGCACCCTCATCGATCGGTGCTACCGGGCTCGCTTGTTTGGCGCCCGCTGCGGAGAAGGGATTCTTGGCCGCCTCGTCCGTGGGTGTATCGAGGCTGACGCCCACCAGCTCGCTCTCGCTCACCACCGAGATCGGAGACACGACCTCCTCGGGTGTAAGACCGTCTCGCATCGACGACATCTCCCAAGTCGATTCGTTGGATGGGTCCGCCGCGCTGGGAGCCGCGCCGAGTGGTGCCGGCGAGCCGGTTCGGTGCAGCCCCGACGTGGCAGAGGCCGACGGCGCAATTGTGCCTCCGTCAGACACTTCTTCCCACCCAGAGCCCACTTCCGAGTCGGAAAGATGCACCGTGGAAAAGCTCTCGTCCGGCCCTGCACGCGCTGGGCTTCTCGAAGGCGACACCTTGCCCGTCCTTGCAGTGCCAGCCACAGCAGCGCCGACAGCAGCAGAGGTAGTCAGGTCCCGCCCGTCGATCTCGTCCGTGCCCATCGCGTTGGTCGCCTTGCGCGCCATCGGCCGAGTCGTCGCCGCCGATGAAGTCGATACCTGTCGCATGTCTGAGCGATTCGGCCTCTGCACTCCGAGGCTGTCGTTGTGCGGCGTCAGCAGATCCAGCGAGGGGAAGGCGATCCCACCTGCTCCAGCGCCGTCGGCTCGGTCCGCTTTGGCTACCGTAGCGGCGGGTCGGCCGTGTCCAAGCCAGGCAGCAGTCCTCTGCTGGCTCTCTCTGTACAGCGATTCGCCCGGGCTCGTGTCCCGCTTGGATGGAAAGACCACACTTGTCTTGGGACTCGATCGCTGAGAGGTCCCTTCCGCCTTGTCAGCCCTGGTCTCGCGCTGCGGAGGGACGTCGTCTTGGTCCTCGCCCTTGCCGACATCGTCATCGGAGCCAGCTTCGTCCGCGGACGGCTCGGAGAAGCTCTCCATGCTGGGGTCAAAGTCGTCGTCATCAACCCACTTTGGTGCGGACTCGGCGAAGGAGAAGATGGTCTTGGGCAGCGCCTTGATGCGCGCGCAAAGATCGACCAGCGCCTCTTCGTCCTTGACCAGGAATCCTAGGAGCATGCTTGGGTCGAGCGACTTGATGGGCATTCTGCGCACTTTTTCGCAGTGAAACGTGGACGTCTGGGCCTCGGTGTATGCGTGGGACCACCACTCGTCCTCGTCGTCGCGGTCCTCGAGGGCGTATCGATGCGAAACATCGAACCTGCTTGGGGCTGCAGCGGGAAAGGTGGTGGGAGGGTATCGGAGAGGCACAGCAGGACGCACGTTGTGCGGGTCGAGATAAAAGAGCGAATTGCCTTGATGGCCCATGAAATAGTAAGACGAGGACGGCCTTCCACCTGCAATGCCAACGCTCTGTGGGAACGAGAAGGTGGCTTTGACCGATTCGTAGTAGATGGGGTTGACAGTCTCGAGACCGAGTCGAATGCCAATCAGAATCAGCACGGGCCGACGCCAGACGGCAGTCTCGGCCCTGCGATTGCCCGAGAGCATGCCGCTGGCTCGAGATTTGCCAGTCGAGGCACTTGCAGCTGCGCGCACCTCGTCGAGGTAAAAGACCCCGTCGTGTGCGAGTTCGACGGCAATGCCTGCCTCGGGAAAGTCGAACACGAGCTGCTTGATGGCTCCGGCGGCGGTCGAGGGGCCGAACCACTCTCCGACCTCTTTGCCGAGACGCTTGCCCTCGCGTGCCATTCGATGCACGCCGAACGGACAGGCGGGGCTGGGATCGTCGAGGAACCAGCTGAGGATTCGGATGTAGGTGGCGTGACGGGCGCGCCTCTCTCGCCAGGATGCAAGGGACTGGTTCTCAGCGCTAGCGTCGAGCGAGGCGTTGGCGAGTTCCTCGAAGAACTCGATCTGTGATTTGGGCGCTGTCTCCCTCTGCCAGGATCTGCCAAGATGGACGTTGATGAGCGCATTGGCCAGCAGACTTTGGCCGGTGCGCAGCATGCAGCCCCAGCCCGAGTCGGTGGTGAGGCCAGCGCGGCTGAAGCCGGCGGCCTGGGCGGCTGCGGTGGCCCTGCTCCAGAGATTGGTGATGCCCATCTTTTCCCCGAGCGTGGCGGATGCGTTCACATAGCCGGCACCCAGTGCAGCGCCCAGACCGAGGGGAGAGCTGGCTTGCGGAGCGGCTTCGTGTGCGACGTTGCTCTCTGCGGTCTTGCGGCCGAGCCAACCGCGGCTGGCGGAAGCCGGAGGGCTACTTGAGCGAGTCGGGTCGGGATTAGAGGAGGCGCCGGCTTGTGCAGATGGTGTCGCGGGATCGGATGGCTGGCTTTGAGCGATGGCGAGCGCCTCGGCTGCGGAGGCGGCTTGGTCCGAGATGGTGCCGTCGCGTGCGATGGGAGCAAAGTGGTTGCGATACGTGCACCAAATTCTGGAAGCAAAGTCGGGTTGGAATGCCGACTGAGATTCCGAAGCGGGCGGGGTGGGTCCGGACGAGGCAATGTTGAAGCTCGTGGCTGAGGATCGAGTCCTGAGGCTTTCGGCGGTGGATGCGGTGGCACCGGTGGAGATGGAGCTGCCGACAGTGGTGCGATCGGGCTGATTGGAGGAGGATGTAGGCGCGAAGGAGGCGTAGTTGAGATCGAGTGGGCCGCGACGCGGGGACGAAGCGGACACGCTTGAGGACGGAGAGGCCGCCCGTCTTGCATCTGTGTGATCGTCGTCAGCTGCATCGGACGCGACTGCGCGTGTGGCCGATCTTGGCTCTTGTGCGATGGGTGGCTCTGACTTTTGCGACTGTCGAGGAGCGTGCCAGACGCCCAGCAGCCAGATGCCCTCGTCTTGGTTCGCGCTCGGGTCTGTGTCGAGGAAGAACTTGAAGGCGCGATCTAAGCCAACGCCGCCGGGGACCCAACTGGAGGTGTTGGCAGCATTGCCACCACCAGCCTGGGAGCTGGTACTGGCGATGCCGGAACCGCTTGCGCTGCCACTGGCGCTTGCATCGCCACCGCTGTTGCTGCCGGCGCCAGCACCGCTCGTGTTGGTCGCGGAGTTTGTGCCTGTGGTCGCCAGGGTGGTGACTGTCTGACTGGCTGTGAGCGTAGCGGACTGCGTAGTCTCTGCCGTGGAGGCTTGTGGGGATCTAGGGTGTTTGGCCGAGCCTACGGTGGTCCAAGAGTGCAAGAGTGCGCCGGCTTTGGAGCGGCTGGGGATGCTGTCCGAGCTGTGGGCATTGGCGGAGGTGTCTCTTGAATGTTTTGAAGGCGAGATGGAGGCTTGAGCCATGACTTCGTTGATGTCTGCTTCGCGCACAGGCGAGAGGGGAGCACCTTGTTCGAGCGGCGACGGAGAGTTGTCGCTTCCGACCATGTTGTAGAGCCAGCCTGTGAGGCGGCGAGGAGCGCTCTGGTGAAGGTCGCGAGAGTCATGTTTGGGTCGGGAGTCGACAGGATCGGATTCGGAGTGGCGGTGGTTTGGGTCGGTGGTTGTGATGGAAGCGGTGCTTGAGCGTGCGCTTTCGATGCTCCTTCTGGAAGCGTCGTGGGCGGGGAGGAGCTCGCTGTGCGTCAAGCGGCCAGGCTGAAAGTCGGAGCTGGATTGGGAGGAGCTGGAGCGTGGATTGGTGGAGACGGATTTACCACGCCTTCGACCGATGCGCTTGAGAGAGTCGGAGAAGCGTTTTGAGGGCTCTGAGTCTGCCGATGCGAGGGAGGAGGCGTCGTCGGAGGATGGGTTTGCGGGAGTGGCTTGGTTGGATTGGTTGAGGTTGAGGAAGCTCTTGCTGCCCATGCGCCGCAAGAGGCCGAGAGGATGTTGCGAGGCAGGTGACGATGCGGACGAAGGGCGCGATGCTGGATTGGGCTTGGGCGACGGAGCGGCAGCATCGGTGCTGACTGCGGCGCTGGACGAGCTGGCTGCATTGCTTGAACCGACACCTCCGAGCAAGCTGCGTATGCTGTTGCTGCGACCAAAGAATTTGCGACGATTGAAACCGGAGTTGGATGTAGATGGTGTAGCGGAGTGGGGTTGTGGCGGCGGAGAGACGGACGCGGAGGACGGGGTTGGATCGGGGCTTCTCCAGGTGGCCGAGCGGGATCGCGTAGCGTTGGCAGAGGGCGAGTCGGAGCGCATGGCGGACGAGGAGGGATGATCGGTGGGAGTAGCTGCGTTGTGCTTGAGCAGCATGGTGGCGCCGAGGGAGTTGACGCGTACACGGATCCCCCTTTTCGGCTGCGGCTGAGCATGGGCTTGGTTTGCGGTGGAGGCAGAAGCAGAAGGGGACTCGTTGATGGGGATGGTGCGAAGAGGGAGGCCGTAGCTGGAGGACCTTGGCGAGGCAGTCTGGGGGGCAGCGCCGGACATTCTGCACCGATGCTGCCGAGG